TGCCGAACAAGACATGGACTCAAAAATCAGTCTGGAGGAGGCGCTGAGGGAAGGGAGGCATGGGTTTGTGAAATAAGCTGCATTATGCAAACCGAACAATGAATAAATGAATACATTTTAAAAAATGTACAGTACTAAGGCCTAAAAATATGTGTGGTGCTAACCTCCTCAAATAAACCCCCTGTGTTCCATAGTATTTATAGCACAACTAGTGACTTGTACAAATTGCACTCCGCTTCTATAATCATGAACAAAAATAATAAAAAGTATTGCCTATGTATATATTTATACAGTGTTGGAAAAAGAGCAGTAGTGTCTGCACTACAGTCCTTCGATATGACCTTTGTTATCACCTACCTACCTACCTACCATGTCCTCTTTAGTTTTGCCATGTTGCCCAGCCACAACACAAAGATCTGCATCCACACTGTTTTAGGCCTCTTGAATCAACTTCAAATGAAGGAATCTAAACAAAAGACTCTATGAAGGAGCTTTTTTAAAAGGATGACGTTTTAAAGAGACCTTCATTTTAAGTGAGAATACAGTTTATGGTATGGGGGGAGATGAAGGACAAAGCCTTTGTAAGGTGTTTTGATAAGAAAAAAAGAAGCCTTATATGCAAACCTTTTAACCTGTGTGTTTTCTGCAAGTGCCACCCTTGTATTGTGTAAAAGGAAAGTTACTTTTTTCACCAGCTTCAGTATTATGAAATGGTTCACCGTTGTTTTTTGAAGCACCTGTGTCAGTATTAAGACTTATAGGCAGCAGTTCCTTAGTTTACATTATGTTGTGCAATGTTTTCTGTTTCTTTTCTTTTTACTTTGTCAGTATTACACCAAACCATTTTTGAAAACAACAAATTGCATTCATTTTATTTGTAGTTTGGAAAAAAAAACATTATTTATGTGGCCCATTTTATATTTCCTAATTTTATTTATTTCATACTGTTGTGTACAGTACTATAGTTCTTCAATATATAGATATATTTTAGTAAAAAGGAACATGGTGTCGTCATAGGGGCAAATTTTACGTAAAGAGAACATTTATTGTGTTTTGAAACATTGTGAAATGCGAAGTTTAATCTTATTTTATTTTATTTCCTTTATTTTCCAGGTACTGGAAAATTCCAAATTTGGGAACTTTTATACAATTGTGAAAACACTGTATTTTCAACTGAAAAATTCCACTTTCTTCATCTTTGTTTCTTTTTTTAAGCTAAAAAATGAAGAGGGACTGTTAAATACTATGTATGATATCATGACTGAAGAAGAATCTTTCCTGAAATGTCTTTGTAAAAGTATTATTGAATTCTTAATTTGTAATTTCTCTTGAAGATGACCCTGCTCGAATAAAAGTAGCCAAATTACAGAGTACCAAACCCTCAGTGCTTCATATTTATTCACAGAGAACAAACTGTGCGGCTGGCTTGGCAGCATCGGGCTCAAGTCACTTTCAGTGAGGGAAACTGAAAATCTTTCTCTTTTCATAGCCAGTTTATACACAAACCACTGAGGACGAAGTCACTGCTTCTCATTATCATGTTAATTACATGCAGTTCCAGTTCACATGTTGGAATGGATCAAAGTGACTTGACCCCGACCCTGCTGATTATTATGTCTCATTTGGATGATAAAGTAAAAGCTGACATGAAACCCACATCTTTTCACCCGTAAGTGTCAAGCAACTTCAACTAGTTTCAAAGCGATGTTCAATATTTTTGTTATTGTCTACAAATCCCATTAAATGACCAAACCAGTGAGCTGATTTTAAAGGTTTTGCCCTGTAGTTCATTTGGATTCATTTGCACACACACTGTCCTTGCTGAAAATACTCATGGTATTAATCCACCACTGAAAATAGTCCCCAACAAATGTCATATCTGGTAAAAACAAAAAATAAATAAATAATTAAATAAATAAAAAACTACAGTACCCAGGTGTTTTAGGAAGTTACTGAATGTGATTTAAAAATAAAGGTATGTTTTTGAGAGATTTACATTTTAGTCTTTTAGTGGGATATGTTGTCAGTAAGAAAAATAATCATGCCGACATATCCTTTTAAATATTCATTTAGACAAGAGAAAAAAAGAGGAGACAATTAAGGGGTTTTAAACCTGAGGGCTTCACATACAAATATAATTTTCACATTTTCAGTCATAGCTGAAATACAATTTGACCTTAAAGGTGACTACATGGTATTTGGTAGACGCACACAGAGTTTGGGTTTGTGTCATAGTGGAAAATTTGATATCTTGGTAATTGACAGACAATGAATTGGTGACAAGTTTAATAACTGTATAAGTCATTTATGAAGCAAAATCTTCCCACAGGATTTCTGAACTTCTCTGACAGGCATTTTTCACAATTTTCTTACATTTTACAAAATAAATGAATAATCAAATACCAAAATATTACAAATATTACTTGATAGTGGAAACCAATGACTAGTTGCAAACTTGGCAATATATGGACTCGTGGATTTTTCTTCCTGGGCGACACAGGGATTTCTTCATTTCACCAGCCATTAACAACACTTTTTCTAACTCTTATTTTGAAACTTTGCGCAGTCCTGACAGGTGGACTCCAGCAGTGGAGTCCTCTCTGCTGAAGGAGACACTCAACTCCATTAACCAGTCGCAGTGTGTTATGCAGATTAAAAGCAACATCAAAAGGCCAAGATGAAAGCGCGAAAGGTTGAGTGATGCCAAACACCAGAACACACTTTGCATATTCTGATTTTCCTATCGATCAGCGTGCCATCAGATCACTCACAGACCATCTCGCAGATAAAAGAGGGGGTCTTAAATGATTAGCTGATGAATTTGATAATGTGCTGTGAACCTCCTGGACAATTACACGTGAAAAATGAGCCTGTGTGTCAAGACAGCAAGGAGAGAGTCCTCTGGAGTATATTGCTATCATTAAGAGAGAAATTTGAACCTTCCTTTACTTTTACATCTATTAGACTCGCATAAAAGGTTTAATTCACTCGTCTGACTTCACAGACAACTATTAGGAAGGTCAAAGGTCGAGATGGATGTGATGAAATCTTCCTGCAACCAGTATTGCAGACAGGGAGGGGCTTGCTGAATTAGGGAACAGTGCAAAGAAAAGAGAAAGGGAAATTACATGTATTAGCTCATGCAGAGTAAAAAATCTAGAAAAAGGTGTTTTATGTCTTTCAAATTTGGCTGATTCTGTTGCTGATCCACTCTTACATTTACTGATCAATACTGTCTCGGACTGTTAGCCTGGGGCAGCTTTTAATTTCAATCAAGCTGCGAGATGGTGCTCCTGAATTGATTTTTTGTGTACTTGATAATTTTATTTTTACATGAACATGTTTTGACTGAAGTATTACTTTTTTGCTACACATCTGCGATGATCCTAATCTCAGATTTCAAACTTTCTTGGCTTTATTTTATTGTTTTTTTGCATCCAGCTCTCCTGCAGTTTAAACCAAATAATGCACTGAATAGTGGGCAACAGATTTGCATGACTTCATGTCTTTTGTTGGTGACTCCTGGCATCTGGAGTCTAGAAGTTAAAACGCATCACAAAGCTTTTTTTCAGAAAGCTGAAAACACAGAACATTTTGGTCTCAGTTCTCAGGTGTCAGTGATGGGATTTTGATCTGCTCTAATGTAAAACAGTGTTGGGAGTGTTGCCCGCCTCATTGAACATTTAAAAGGGAGGAAAAACAACAACACAAGCATGTAGTAGTAATTCATACGAGTGTCATCCAGCCATATGCCTGGGCCAGATTGGTGGTGTATTTTGGACAGCTGAGCTCTGATGATTCACTGCTGGGCCTCGTATAGACCAAAGCTAAGTGTACGTTTTGCTTCAGGCTACTCTGCTGCCTCCGCAGATACACTTAAACCTGTTTGCATTGGAAACGCTCCTCTGTGTTGTTTTATTCATCGTCTTCAGTCTTTTTCCTTTACCTGCATTTATCATCCTTCTCAGGGCAAAAAAGGTCATATGTCATGTTGTTCTTGTGTTTAAGGAGCAATGGCTCTTGGTTGTCACGTCACCTTCACATGCAGCTTTAACACCAGCATGTAAATGTGCTCTAAGAAACAGCAGGGTTACACTATGGAAAAGAGGGAGAGCAAGCATGGAACATCAGCAGCAAAGTGAAGACGTAAGGGGAAAAGATCATGTTTTAATGCACCAAATAAGAGCGATAGAGCACGACAGAACATGTCGGAGGCCAGTGAATCAAAATAGTTCTGAGGTTTGGATGTGGCTGAGGATTTGAAGAGTATTTTTTTCCATGTTGTCAGTCTGAGCTGAACTGGAAAACAGATCAGCGCCTGAAATAAAAAAGTGAGTGACTCCATGATAGTTTTACATCTGATGAAAAGAGGAAGCCGCTCACAAGTGAAGACATGCAGATATTTAGGATCAATCCAGTGACTCACACACTGGATTGTGAAGCTGAATGAAGCCTGCAGGTTTACAAGATGAGATCTTTTTACGTTAGACTCTGCATGCAATAAGCTTGTTTATGCAAATTCAAATCCAAAATTTGCAGAAGGTTAGATTTTCATTTTCTCTGAGGTATTACCAGTATCAGTAAGTTGTTTGGTGCGTTCAGAGGCTAGCCAAGGGAATTTCAGAAACAAAATAAAGAAGAAACAAACAAACAAACAAACAAGGAAACAAAAAAGAAAAGAAAAGAAAAACTGCCATAATCTCTGCTCAGCATGCTGATCCTGGATCTATCCAGGGTCTGTATCATCATTAGATTCCCATAGCCACCCTACCACCCTTTATTTGTCATTTGCCAAAAACGACCTTTCCAACGCACTCAACGGATTGTAACGTCTTCCTCAACACATTTTGCAACTTAGTTTGCTCTGTTGCAGAGATGAGCACTAGAGTTGGCGATGTCTACTCAAGTCACACTCCAGGACCACATAAATAAACTCCAGACCTCAGTAGCAATTAGTACCTGTACGATTTTGGCTTTTCCGACCCTCCATAGACCTTTAACGCGCCACAGCCTGCGTCTGGCAATTAGTACCAAACAAAGTGCGTAGTATTTGTCTCAACGTGTCTAAGGGATTGATATGATTTTGTTGTAGATATAAAATATAACGTAAAAATGTAGGCTACGAATTATAGCACTCAGAAAAACGTTCTCTAGCAAAAAAATGTTGCAAAAGAGACAAAATCCCGTCCAACCTGCAGCCTACAGGTGAGTGTTGCCAGTGGCCTAGTGTGTTTGTTAGCTAGCCCATGTTGTTAAGTTAATGCCATTGCTGTTATTGTTGTGTCAGGTGTGTTGGCTTGTGTTAGGCTCCTTATCTTGACGTCACACAGTTGTGAAGGTGTGTAACTTGTTACACAAAGCGGTGATAAATAATGTTACAGGTGTTGTATCAATATGTGTGATGTTGGATTGTAGCGGCTTTTATACAGAGAAGTGTTTTTGTTATTTAGCCTCATTAATATTTGGGGTGGACAATACAGTTGAAACACACCATACAATTGAAAATGATAAAGCTTATAGGCTTGGAGACATGTAAAAGTTTTGCATTGTGCCTCCAGTTTGCTCTGGAATTGTTTAGCTTTACTGTATCAGTAGGCTCACAGAGTTGAACAGTAGACAAGTGTGGTGTGTGGCATCACAGAGGGACACTGTTAACCCCCTGGAAACCATATTAGTTATCTGTATTTCAACGAGAAAACTCCATCCCCTGGGGCAGAATACGAGATGCAGCTGAAAGTTTTGGGAAACGCTAGTAAATGGATTTGAGGTGAGCTGTTGTGAACAAATGTTTTTGTAATTTATTTCACCACTTTTTTCCCCAGATCACTTCTCTAATCCTCTTTTTTGGTTTGTTGAATGATTGGGGGGCAGCCTTCTGCCTTGATCGGTTGGGGTGAGTGGATAGAGGAGAGAGAAAAGAAAAGCAACAAGACACAACAAACATGTGGATTGATCACTGGTGTAATCAAACTAGAGTTTGAAATCAAGGCCAGTATTTGTCAGTTTTCCTGTGCAGGCAGTGGGTATTTGCATCATGTGGGTGACAGAGTACACCTTCCTGCAGCTGGAGGGGTAGAAATGCATCTTTTAAAAGCAGTGAAGAAGAAGACAGCCAGCTAGTGAACACAGCTGTAAATAGTGCAGGAGCTTTAATACTAACATGTTTGTGAGACCTTGAGCTTACACACTGCACTTTGAGTAAAACTGAATAACAACATAGCTTTTTGTGCCTAAATGTGAGTGGGAACCATTAAAAACTGAATCCTCAGCAGTTGCAGTGACATTTTGAGACACTTGGAGCCTCCATCTTTTCGGCGCTGGATGAGGTGGACCACACTGGACCCATATAATGCTGGGAAGAGTATTCTTTATTTATCCATGATGCTGTGGAAGGAGGGTTTGGATAAGACAAAAGTAGAGGAGCTTCTCACCCTTTTGACCTCATTAAATTATTTACATATCCCCATATGCCACCCCGACCATTCACAGGGCACATGAAGGACAGGCCTGGGCAGAGACGAGAGATGGAGAGAGAGCGCTCCTCGGACCTGGCACTCGGCGAGAAAGAGTTCAATGACATGCCGGGAGGAAAAGCACAAGTGACCAGCAGGGATTAGCCAATCAGAGCGTCAGAAGAGCAGCCAGCTGTTCATTCTGGCCGGAGCGAAAAGAGCCCTGGAGCAGGTGGTGCAGATCGGTGCCAGCGGTGCTACAGAGAAGGCAAAAAAGTGAGAGGAAGAAGATGATGATGATGATAAAAGAACCTCATTCTAGTGTGGGGATGGTACTGCATTACTTCTGGACTCTGTGCCTTCTCTCTTTTCTTTGCCTGGCACTTATGGCTTTGCTTAACATTATTGTGCATAAATGTTCCAGGGACACAAGCATATGTGTTTTTTTTTTAAAATGAACTACCCATGGCTTGAAAGGAGCTGTTCAGCTTCTATTGAGGACAGATCCAAAATGCTTCGTAAACAGAAAAGCAATTAGTAGAAGGTGGGAAAAGAAAAGCCAAGCAGGAATCATAAAAAGCAGGTGAAGAATGAAATAAAAGGTCATTACATAAAAGCTAATTATTAGCCCTGGATCAAATTGAGTTTTAAAGTAATTAGCTTCTTGTATGTTTTTAGTTCATTTCAGCCGAGTTAGGCATTTCTTACATTTCCCAGAATGCTGAGTGAGTGGAGCTCTCTGCAGTCTGTACTGTGCATATACATGGGTGAATAGAGAAAAAAGTCTTGTTTTGGCTTCACGTAAGCCCCATACAGAAACCATAAACTACAAATCTATATATTTGTCATGTACTTCCTGCTGGTGTGTGAATCTGAGGGGACAGAGCGCCACTACTGCCTCCTCCACTGAGCACAGCAGCTGCAGAGCGTCACAAAGACAACAATGCTCTCACCGTCAGAGGGGGTTCGTGTTGGGCAGCTCTGCAAAGACCCCCCGTGTGGAATTTTATAAATTTGCATTTATCGTTTTCTACTCTCACTCCTACCAAAACTCTACGTTTGGCACAGTGGAGTCATGGGAGGGCCACAGTAAAGTAGGCTCCTGCAGAGGGACATAAATAGCGAAACAGTTACTCTGCTGTGGTGAAACTCAAGTAAAAGTTATTAGTTCATTTTAAAAGGGCCCAAAGGAAAGTAACCTACAAACAAAGCAAAGCAGAAGTGTTAACATTTGAGCATTTAATGTAAATGAAGCCACAATTTAAATGAGCAATGAGGACATATTTTTATTATGTGAAGCTTGGCCAGAAGCCAACAAGCCCCCTGCTGGCTGACACTCTGTAGCTGCTAATCTCTAAATAAAGTGTTTTTTTATAATGGATTCTAGTCCAGTTTGTGCACGCGATCACTGGGAGACACAGCCACTCACATTTTTACTCCTCAGTCCAGCAGAAGCTCAGCCATTGTGAGTCTAAAAATACAACATTGCTGCTTAGAAAGTGTTAGCATTGTGTTGAAAGTGTTTGCATGTTGAGATTGTAGCTTCAGTGGTCATGGCGGAGCCCACTGTGAACATTTGCCAGGTGTACTTCCATGACAAGAAAAATGTTTTTTTAACTTATCTTACATGTTTTCTTCGGTTTCTTTTTGCAGAATCTTGCTTCAGTCCGGTTGAGTTCATCAGCACTGAAGATGAGCAGTCTGAGAGTCCTGATCGGATCGAACAGCCGACACATACAAGGTAAATTAATTCACAAATGCAAAGAAACAACAAATGTGACCAAGAGTAAAATGAAACTTCTACACATCTGTGAGCTGTATGGAAGCCAAAATGTCATCTCCTGTATTGATACGGTACTTGTTTTTTGTTTGCCACTGCAGGTTTAAATAGCTGCATGCGTGTAAATCTACACTGTGTTCACACCTTTACTGACACCACCCATGTTCAACAGCCCCATTCAGTTCATCTGCAATGGCTGCAGAAATTTTTGCTTTCAAAATAGTTTTTATCTTTTAAAAGCTCCTCTTTAGTCATCCCATAAGTTGTTGTAAAATTGTGTTAAAAGGCCACTTGTGGCCTCAGTTACCTATATTTATTTATTAATTAGTTTTGTTTTAAGCAGGTTTGTGCTCTTCTCTCCATTATCTTGCATCTGGGCTTTTCATGATTTCTGGGAGTGTCACATCCTCAGTATGAAGACAGCTGTGTTTGATTTTGTGTCATTTCATGCATAGAGGTTTGTTTGAAGTGCATCAGTTGTAAGAAACGTGTGGGGAAATGAAGCCTTTTAATGGGTCATTTTACAAGCTGTTAATCAGGTGAGGTGGAACACTGGAGTTCTTTTCATGAACCAACAGCAGTGTGCGGCTGTGGCTCAGGAGGTCCACATGTTGGAGTGTCCTTGACCAAGACACTGAGCCCCAGGTGGCTGTCCCCCTGTGCGTGAATGGGCAAATAGTATGAAAGCACTTTGAGTGCGTTCATTACATAAAAAAGCACTATGCAATTATAAGCCCGTTTGCTAACAGTGTGAACTGTAGCTTTGTCTGTGAGCAACCTTCACGAGCTCAGTGGTCATTTCTTGGTATTTTCTCAGTTCGGACATGCTGATGTTATACATAGGTTTATATAGCCATACAGTTTGAATGTTTGTGTGCTTCCAGTCTCACTTTGCTCCTGCTCAGCCCACAATCTTTCAGCTACACTACTAATACTCGTTGCAGGCTTGTCGCATGAGAACAGAGATTTCCTTCAGCACTCAGAGGAAATGATCTCTGTCAGTCTGTCCGTCATTCATGCAGCCTCCCCCTTCTCTTCCTCCGAGAGGTGAGTGATTATGTGTTTTGCCAATGTGGTTGTGGAAGTCTTTTGATATGCACAAACACAGATCCTAATGCGCAGGCAACAGCAGCTTTTTTTGGCTGACGGCTGATTAGGATGCCAGCTCATGACTGAATCTGCAGGGCCCCAGCTGGGTGCAGGGAACATCGCTCATTACACATTTTCTAGAGGTGGGGGGGGGGGCTAATGCACACTGCTGCCCAGCATGCCGGTGGAGGTGTAATCATATCATTCTAAACCACCGGTCAGTTACGTGCTGGTGAAGCCGTAGCTTTGCCAGAGGGCCGGCTGGAGCCTGATTAAAGCTCGGCCAAAGACAAAGTGACATGTCCTTAACCTCATCAGTGGAGACGTTAAGCAAACCATCACTTACCCATCAAGGTGCGAGGTTCACCCCACCGAGACCCTCAGCCCTGAATGAATTGTCAGCCTCTTCCTTTCCGTTTTGTAAATTAGAGCTTTCTTCTCAAGGAGCTGCATGCATTTTTTATGAAGGCATCGTGGCCGATGGTGAATGGCTGCCTGGGCGTTCCCGTCACTAATATGCCACTGTCCTCTTGATTTAATTAGACATTGGCCCCCACTATTTTCGACAAGGAAATATCTGCTCTAATTAAGCGATATACTTCACCAGAGAATGAACAGAGTGCAATTCAATGCAGGGTTAATGTGGTCATAAAAAATCCATGATTTCTTGCCCTTTGCCCTCCTTTTCTGGCATTTTTTCCTCCAAATTCTCGAGCAAGTGAACTTGAAATGTATCCTTTCTCTCTGTGTATTTTTGTCTTCTGAACAGGCCAATTACTTTTTTGGTTGGTTTATGATTATTCGTGCTAGAGAGACATCCAGTTGTTAATGGACTTAGTACTGTTTTGTACTCTCTCACTGGAAATGGATAATTACTCCACTGAGGAGGCGAACCTTTGCAGTCCAAGCTTCCTGAATGCAGCTTTACATGTATGTAATTTTGTAAAGGAAGCATTCTGTCTGTAGCCTGCAGGGATTAGGTCTAATGACATAAGTTAATTATATTAAGAGTAATTTTCAAAAACAGTTCATGAACTGCAAATTATACTTAAAATTGCTCCTTAATGCTCTTAAATGTAATTAAATTGGCCAATATCTTAAGAAAATGAGCACGTGGAACAGGAGTAATAGGTTAAGGGAACATAGGAGTTCAGCGGTTAGTGGCCTGGGGAAGAACTCAGTAATGTGATATTCAGATGGTGTTTTCTAAGAATTCTGGAAAGATTTGTTTGTTTGTTTGAACAACATTTAGTAAAAAAAAAAAAATCACAAGTGGGTAAAGAGCAGTGGTATGAGAAGTACTCAGGTTGATTCCTTAAGTAAAATTAGCAATACCACATTATGCAGAAAGGGAAATTTCACATTAATGTATTTCATATAACTGGCTTAATAATGATGCACTGTTGTGTTCATCACTTTAGTGTTGCAGCTGGTAAAGGTGGCACTATTGTTAACTACCTTACCTACTTATTATTTGAAGCACTTCACATACTGCTGAGTAGCTTGTGAATTTTACACAGAGGATCAATAAAGTCTTATGGTTATACTGCATTTTGTTTTATCTGGTTCTGAAAAGTAACTAAAGTTATCAAATACATCTAGTGAGTACAAAGTACAATATTTTTCTCTGAAATGTAGTGAAGTCGAAGTATGAAAAGCAGAAAATGAAAGCACATATACCTCAAATTTGTACCTAAGTTGATTAAATGTACTTGGTTACTTTTCCACCTCTTGTAAAGAGCACTTTTTAAAAGAGGCATGTCAATCAGGAGATGAACATAAAGCACCACAGAACCTGCCCCATTCTTCCAGAAGTATCCCAGTGAAAACTTTCTGTCTGGGAACTCCAGGTATACTAGTGAGTATAGTGAGTATAGAGTAGCTTCCCTAAAAGTGAGGTGCATCACTTGTTTTGCTTCCGCACAAGTATGAAGGTGAACATTTTCACTGCTGGTAACTCCTTTTCATTCAAGAGGAAAAACTAATAGAGTACAGCAGGAGCCCCTTCTGAAAGAGGCTGCTGATGGAAGTAGCACCTCACTTCTGGGACCTTCCCCATGTCTGTGGAGCCGGCTCTCTTCCTCCTCTCTTGCGGTTTCTGTGACATCATTTACACACAATGACATGCTGGTTCATCAGCGTGTGAGGAGATGAGTGGTCCACATCGCACTGTAGAGAGCTTCACTGTCTGTGTTGCAAAGACTCGCATTGTGCCACTTTTCCAAACGCCTCCACATGCCCGACTACAACTTCTGTTCTCTGTGGAATTAGTTTTTTTAGTGTTTTTTTTCTCTCCTCTTCAAGCTGGTGAAACCTTGACATGTAAAGTGAAAAGTGCTTCAGCAGTTGTATGTTTTAATCCCCAAACAGTTGACTGTGTGCATTCCCTAGCTCTACAGGAGAGGGGAAGAAATGGGAGAATTATGTGCATTTGTCTGCCTGTAATTAGGTGTATTTCTTCCCTGAGTTTTTATTTAATGATTGGCTTTTACAGCGAGGACTAGGACTTTTGAAGAGTAATGATTCTCCACTCAGGGGACTTAAAAGGTGGAGGGGAAGAAGGGGATGAAAAAAGAAACCGCCATCATTCTGAAGCTTTGAACGTCCCTTAATCTGTACAAAATGTAGGTTTGCCTTGCTTTTTCCAGATCAAAGGCTCATGAGGATGTATTATTCAGTCATAACTGGTGTGTTAAACCAGCAAAATGCCATTGTGAAAGTACTTAGAGCAGGTTTTTCACCTCAGAAGAAGAGGGTTGGAGGCTTTCCGAGTCATGCCATTTGTGCAACTGTGCATATTAAATCGACTTGGAATTTCGTGGTGCTGGGACTGTATGTTCTGTGTGGCTGAAGTGTGTGTGTGTGTGTGTGTGTGTGTGTATGTGTATGTATGTGGGGGTGTGTCTTCTTTCTCACACACACTTGCATGCAAAACTATGCATGCACAAAAACACGCACTTGTAGTATCTTCCATCTCTACCGTGAAGCCAGACCCCCCTCGGCTTTTCTCACTTGTAATCATGTCCAAATTTGCACAGGAAGGCAGGGGGAAGGGGGAGCCATGTGAACTTGTGTGGGTGTTTTCTGTGTTTTTTTTTTTTCCATGACAAAACCCGCTTCTGATTACCACAGATCTCTGACGCCCGAGATCCAAATCACCTTCTAAAGCCTTTCAAACGCCGAGCTTGAAAACATTTTCCTCTCTGTCCTTTTTCAACTAAAAGTGAAGATTGGCTCGAGGAAAGAGAAGCACTACATCTGCCAAGTAGCAAGTACATGAAACATAAATGTAAAGAATGCAGGGAGAAGCCCTTACTGGTAGAAAGCCTCAAAGGTAATTAGTAAACAACAAGATGAACAACTTACATGGTCATGACTCCAATAGCAGTTACCTCTTGGATTCAACATCTGGAGGTGTGTGAATTCTCTGCAGCCAGTCCAGACGTACATTCAACCTTTGTGCCGTTTAAGCGCTTGACTGATCACCATTTGGTTTTAAAAATGCAAATGTTGTTCATATTTGCATGTGCTGTTGCAACCTAAGAAGATTAACTTGCAAATCTAAAAAATGCCCAACTTAAAAGCTAAAGCTCTTCAGGTAAATGTCTTCAGTTTGTGCTAAGATATCTCATTGTCATGCTCCTTCTAAAAGATTAATGACCTTAAACTGAGCTGCATTGACAGTGTGTTCTTTTAGGACTGTGCCTGAAAAGCTTATTAAACCTGAGCTTCTAATTGCAGTTTGCTCTTTCATTCTTAACACTTCCTGAAAAGCTGTATTGAAATTAATTTGTGCCAGAGCTGTTGTTGTGAAATCAGAACATGAGTCATGCTCATATGTTGAAAATTATTTCTTAGTGGGTTTAATACCACATCAGATTTTAAAAGATGTGTTCTTGTTAGGGTTGACATGTACTTGGCTTCCTCCTGCACATTCAGTCCTTGTGTGCTCAGAGGATTTTGTAGCACTTGGTGAGTGTGTGTTTGGGCCCACCTTGGCAGCGGCACTAGCGATCAGCAGGGCCCAGCCGGTGTGTTAGCAGTGAGAGTATAGTGTCATTTGTCCCCTGGGCGAAGTGAGGTGGAACCTTACAGGAAACTGGCCCTAAATGGATCAGTGAAAGGGGGTGGCGAAGGGTGAGGGTGGCAGCAATGGCAGTGAAGCTGCACAGCCTGCCACCATGTGTGCTGACGAAGGCTGCATGCAACTCGGACCTCACTCACATCAATACGCAGCCAATGTGTCACATGAAACATGACAGTGAGATTGATGATGGCTTCATTCACTGAGATGCTCAGTTTCCATCTTTGTTTCACTCTTATTTTTATTTGCACAGTTTCCTTTCTTGATTTTAATTCGCCACCTGAGAATCATACGTGCTCTTGTTTCCGATTCTGGTATTGCGTGCTTCCTCTTTTCTCCCCCTACTGTATAGCACATCGTCCATTGAGCACCACTGCACCAGCAGAGATTAATCGTCGCTGATGCACATAGCTGACATCTTGCACAAAATACATTCTCCTCTGAGAAGTTTGCCAGGGAAGTTTTCCTTATTACAGATCAGTCCCTCATAAACACCCTCATTTGTGTGATCTCGCTGAGCACCAGTCTGCTGTCGGTGACAAAGGGCTGCTACTTCTTATCATGTATGAGGGCTTTAATTAGCTGCGTGGCTCGGATTGCAGGCCGTCAGGCAGAGGAGAGTGGTATTGGTTGGATCGGTTGAAGTGGGTCAGGCCCGAAGTGAGTGGACATGCGAGTGACCGCGGCATGTGATGTGACCCGTTAGTGGTGCGCTCTCATCCTGTCTGTTGTGCCTGATACAGGACTGTGGTAGCCACAGGGCAAACAAATCGGATGAAGTCAGAGGCAGGCTGCTGAGAGGTTTACGGCTCTACCCTTCAAGTTGACTCATGCAAAGTGCGGCGATGCTGCTCTGCTTTAGATTGTTCACATT